CCACGTCTTTTTCCTTTGGCTCTGGATTGTTTTTGAATGATGCAGCCGTGGGAGGATGGTGAGGGACCCGAGTACCGCAGCTGCCTACAGCAAAGGCCGAGTGGCTCTGGCACCCGTTATCCTGCTGCCCTGCTGTGCCAGCACTGACACAGCAGCACCTTGTGCTGTCCCGGTGTGCAGGCAGTGCTGTGAAGCAGTTTCTCATCGCTGCTCTGAACCCCATTGTGGAGGTGAGGTGTGTGCCATCCAAAGGGCATAGCCTGCAGGCCTGGGAGTTACTTCCCCAGCAGACAGAAACATCTCCTTTCTGTGCGTGCCGCTCAGGAAACGGGAATAACAAGGAATAACAAATGAGAATTGACAGCTTTTGTCTCAAACAACTCTGAGCTGTAATGAGCCAAGTTGTGGTTGTCAGATGGAGACGTCACAGAAGGATCTGGGAAGTGGGGGAGAAGCAGTGTGGGACCTGAAGTGCTGGGGGAGCTCCGTGCTTTGTGCAGGCTGTGCAGGGGGAGGCGCAGGGCTGAGCTGTGCAGGTCCTGCGGGGCTCTGCTTTGAGCACAGCAGCGGCTGTCCCGTTGGATCCCAGATCCCAGGGACCTCGCACAGCACTGGGTTAGACCCATTCTGTCCTGGTTCTGCATCTGGGCAGCAGAGGTGCCCTGACCTCTGCTCTGAGAGGAGGCAGCAGACCCTGCTGTGTTGGCCCCTCCTTCCCCCCCAGCCCTGTTACTGCTGCAGGTGGGCTGGCGGCTGTGAGATCGCTTACTAAGGAACTTCTTCCCTTCTGATTACGAGGGATGTGTGAATAAAGCAGAACTGTATTGATTCACACCAATCTGTGCATCGACTGTGTGGGAGCCACTTGCAATTCCCAGCAGCACCAGAAAGCTTTACAACAGGGAGAAATATGACCAGGCAAGTTGAGCAAATAAATTAAACCAGTGTCAACTTTTCTTGTTTCTTCCCTCATTATTAATGGATGGAATGGGGCTCGTTTATCAAGAGGAGGGGAAAATTAATTGACACGGGCCTTAATATTATTATGCCTGGCTTGTCTGGTCACATTCCTTTTTTGTTTTTTTAAGCTTTTCAAAATGCATTTTATTACGGTTTACAGGTCTGGCTGCCAAAACTGTTGGTATAAACAAGAAAGCAGGTGCGTAAATAATGCCATGGCAGGACTGGGCATTGCTGTGCTTCACTGCTTAAGTAACTTAAATATGGGGAGAGAAAGAGAGGCATAAAACAAATACAAACAGGATCATCGGGTACCAAGATGAAATGCAAAGAGGGAACACAACTGGAGCTGATGTTCCCTCATTCCGGTGCTGTGGTTGTTGGGGGCTGTTGTGGGTTAGTGTCCATCACTGTGAGCCCCTGCGCTGCCAGGCTGCGATGGATGGAGCTGTGCTGTATGGGTGCCCATCAGGTGTTCTTACCTGGCAGCAGGAGCGAGAGTTGAGCAGTGCTTCTTGTGCTGCAAGCTGTGTATATCTTCCCTTCTCTCCCTTGGTCTTATGGATTATTGTGCAGGCACAAAAGAGCCTTGGTGCATGCTTATTTCCCAGGAATCTTCTAAGGAGCTATCTCATACTTCAGCACGCTGTAGGAGGGGGTCCCAGCTAGCTGAGACCATACGGTCCAAGTAGACAATGCAGACCCAATGTGGTGAAAGGAGATGATCTCCTCCGTATCATGGAGTGGCCCTGGGACAGCCAGGGATTAAACCACTCTCCTCTGGTGCTCACTGCCCTGCTTCTGCCCCCAGAGCTCCTCTCTGTGGCTGGAAAACAGAGGTGTCCTTTGCCTTAGGAAAGCTGCTGGGCCAGCAGTTGGCGATAGTGCAGATGCTGGGAGGTGGTGGTACCCCAGTGCGGGGCAGGGCGTGCTGTGGTGGTGAGTGTGAGCAGTGTCCCTGTGTCAGTCACAGTCTCTGCAGCCAACGCTAACACTGGCTCTGTTGGTGCAGGTTTGAGGGAGCAAGGCCTTCCACGTATAAGCTGCCTTCATGTAGCTCTGCTGCTGAGCGATGTTCTGGGGGTACCTAAATGCAGCTGTAACGCACTGCTGTGCTCTCAGCACCCTGGTTGAGGGAAGCAGCTGCCAACTTGCAAGGGAAAGCAGATGTATTTCATAGCGACGGTGTCGTCATCTCAGCTATATTTTACTGAGGTTGACAGAAAACTTCTCAAGTGACGACAAAGGTGTGAAATATAGTTGATTCAAGTGTGAGAAAAACAAAGTGCGGAACACAGGAGCGCTGACATTTGGTATCTTCAGCACAGCTTCTCCATGTGATTTATGGCGCCCACTGATTTGTTTTAATCTTTTTATGGTTGTATTTGGCTTCTCAGAGCAGCGTTCCCCTCATCTCTGGAGTGCAGAGCTGGCAGTGCCCTGGGCCGGGGGGTCTGAGTGGTGAGGGCATGGTGTGCTGGGCACTGAGTGCCTGGGCGGTGATTTTGGGCATATCAGGGATGCTTCCAGGGAGCTCAGGCTGGCGTATGCATGAGGAGGCGATGCATTTCCCCAGGCTTACCTTCCCTGTGGGCCATTCCCTTGGATGTGTTTCCCCATGAGGATGCCCAGTGCCAGCAGTGCCCATGGGCTGCACTCCCACAGGTGCCTGCGGGCCGAGCTGCCGTCTCGCTTCCTGCAGGGCTGCTCACTCGGACTCTGTTTGCCTCTTGTTTTATATTTCTCCCTCTTCATTGTCTTCTCTTCTCCAGAAAAGATTATTCAAATGAATATTCAGTTTTATTCATTTGAATTAAAAAAAAAAAAAAAAAGCAAACCATTTGACTCTGTTAAATGCTTATCTCTTAAATAGAGCTTGTTAGCTTCCAATAATAGCTTCATTCAGAAGGATGCCGTATAATTTCATTTTAAAACGTGTGCTCCTTGACAACCGGAATCCTATTTCTGTCACCATTTCAAACAGCCGCCTTTGTTTTGTGTTAATCTTTTTCATACACTTTCCAAGGAGCGTTTTTTGTTGACTCTCAGTACCTCTCATAAGAAGTAATTGTCTGTTTCGTCCAGGAAGGTTTCTGAGAGCTTTGGTAATTCAGAAATGAGCTCATATTCATTACGCTAACTAATAAGGCATGCATACTGTAATGTTTTTTTATACGTGCAATTATTGAAAGTCGCAATCCAATATTTTATAAGTGAAACAAAGAAGGACCCATTATGGGTTCGTTCCAGGAATTTTTTTAGCTGCAGGGCAGTGATCTCCTAGGGTTGCTTAAGGAGCAGTAGGATGCGATGGGCAGGCTGTGAGAGCAGAGGCAGCACAGCCTGCAGCACTGAGCATTGCTCTTCTCCTGTGCTCCCCCAGGGAGGAATGAGGCAAAGCTGCTGCTGGGTTTTCCTATGGACCCATTCACGTCTGGTTTTTTGCCTGCATGGGTTGGCCTGGATCTTTTAAAAACCTGAATGAGCATTAATGTCTATGGATTGTTACTTTGTTCTTGTTATAAAGCCTGTAAACGCAGAAAGCTGGGCAGGTTTCTGCTTTTCTGGTTTAATCAGAGGAGTAATTTCTGGGTAAAGCTGTGTTTAAGCCGTATGGAGTGCGATGAGAAGGGGAGACTTGTTTCCTGGTCACAACGTGTCCTGCCTGCAGCAGGCTGTCGTGCTGCGCTGCGTATTAATGCTAATCTCCTCTAAATTCCTCTTCCTGGCTCCAGCCTGGCAGCAAGACCTGACAGGAGCTCAATGAGAAATCCTCAGCTGCAGCACTCACTAATGAGTTACTAATGAGGAGGTGGTGGTGGTGACAGTCCCAGCACTGTGCAGGGCACCCCGGGGTGCTGCACCCAGGTGATTAACCACAAACATTCGGTTGTGAGTGTGGATCTGTTCGAGATGGATTTAAATGGAACAGTTTGGAAGGCAAAGAGAGGAGCTGGGTCAAGCACCACGCTTGAAGCTGTAGGTGCTGACGTGCAGAGCATTGCTCTGAGCGCTGCATTTGGGTGCGGTGTGCTGTGGGATGATGTGCTGCACCTCGGAGAAGTGCTGGAACCATTTCTAGTGTTGGTTTTTTTTCCATCCACCCAAGAAGATCCAGAGAGCAAGGGGTGCATTGGCCACTACCTGTGCTGTGCATTCCCATCACTACCTGTGCTGTATGTTCCCCAAAAGGCACTGCCTGGTCCTGGTGCTGTGGGTTCAGGGTGAGGTGCCGTGTGTCCCTGCAGGGCCGTGCAGCCAGCAGAGCACACAGTGCTGGGCTGCAGGTGGGCAGCAGGCATCCAACAGCTCTGACTCAGCGGTGCGGAGGAGAGGAGCGATGAGATCAGAGCCCTCTGACTGATACTTCTGAGAGGCCTCAGGATGTCCTGATGAGGCATTAGAGGAAGTCATTCAGGAAGAGGGGACAAACGAGCACCTCCGGAGCTTGGCGGCCCCGCTGCCTTGCTGAAGTTGTCAGTGCTGGCTTGGTGCGAGGGGAGGGCAGCAACCAGCTGCTGTCTGCCTGGGTTCTTGGTTCGTTGGGGTTTTTTTTTTCGTCCTGCAATGAGTCAGCCCTAATGGAGAAGTCCCTTGGAATTAAACAGGAGATAAAATCAATATGCTTCCATAGACGTATAATTGGGTTTTGTAGAGATTGCTTTTAAAAACCTATAAGGTGTAAAAGAAAATATAGCCTGATTGTAGTTTCTGAGCCGTCGTGAACCAGGGTGTAACTATCCATTAAGTTCTTTGGATGGATCAAAAAATCCATAAGGAGGTTTTAATTCTCCATTAAATCCTATGGAAGAGCTGTAACAGAACCCTATTAATTTCCTCCGAGGTGATGCTTCCTACCTCCATTAGGCTGTAATGAGTTCCACGGCAGCGCTGTGCAGGGCAGGTGTGTTTACATGAGCATATTCCTGGGAAAGCATTCCAAAGTCCAAATGGCAAATAATGCCTTGTTAGAAGAAAAGCTGTTTGACCTCGCTAACGTTTTCCTTTCCCCCTCCCCTTTTTGTTCCTCTGTTGAACAGGATTTGGTTTCGTTACTTTTGAAAATGAAGATGTGGTGGAAAAAGTCTGCGAAATCCACTTCCACGAAATCAATAATAAAATGGTAAGTGTGTGTTCTGCCCAGAGCTGGGATGTGGGGCCTGGGCTGCTGCCAGCCCTGCGTCCGCAAAGCCAAGGCTGTGCTGCAGCATGCCAGCGCTGCCCGGCCCATGGGGAAGTTTTCCCTGGGTGACATCAAGCCCCAGGTCGCACAGTGCCCTGTTGGTAAAGCCGATGTGACAGAGGGAGAAGGGTGTTTGTCTTCCAATCGATGCGAAAACTTTGATATTTTCAGCTGAAATACTCTTTTTCCCTTTGTCAAAACATCCTTCGCTTCTCAAATGTGTATTCAGATATGCATTGTATATTGGTCTGATATGTGTTCACAGACTTTAAATTCAATAATGGAGCTTTTAGTGTGGATAAGATCAAAGCAATCTCTTTGGCATATGCTGGAGGCCTGATTCAATATTTGACTTGCTAATTTTTCCCAGGGCACTGAAATAATATTCTTCATATTGTTCCTGATTGCAATGTGCATCTGAAATAAAAGCGGCTGTCCCTCCAGCAGGCACAGCGCTGGGGTCCAGAGTAGGAACAAGGCAGGAATGGGGCAGCTTGCCCTGCCTGGCCACACTGCTCTCTACTTTGCTTCTGGAGTTTCCTTCTGCTGCTGGTGATGCCTCGTGTGAGATGAATGTGGGTTGTGGGTGAGGTTCCGTTCCCTATGTAGTCACTAAACGCTGATCTGTCTGCCTTAAAACTAAATGAGAGTTAACACCCAACGCTCCTGCCTCGAGGAGCAGCAGACTTGCTACAAATTAGGAATGCTTTAAATTTGGGTAAGGTTTGTCAGTGAGGGAGGAAGAATAGGAATTTCCTTAATGCGAGGTGAGTGCCCATCACAAAGCACTCCATGGGTTTGCTTACTTCACATCACATACTTTTCTCCGGAGCTCAGCTCGGCTCTCAGCTCACTCTCTGTGTAAGTCACAGTGGGGAGGTGCAGGAGCTGGCCGGGCACTGACAGCAGCACAGCATAGGGCAGAACTGTTGCACAGGGCAGGCACAGTGCTGGCCCCCAGCAGGAGGAGCAGCCTCCAGCAGAGCTGTGTGCTGGGGTCACAGGGAGGTCTGTGGTTGTTGCCCTTCCTTTGCCCCAACCATCAGGTTGGGTTTTGCTCTGCTATCAGGATCTGCCCCTCTGGAAAGGCTCCTCCTGCAGAAGGGCTGCGCAGGGCTGTGGGCAGGCGGGCTGAGCGGGGCACAGGGCGAAAGCGTTCCGCATCGCAAGGAGCAGCAGAAAGCAGGTGGGTGTTCTGCTGGTGTGAATAATTGCGGTGCGTTCCTGCCGGCCCTGATCCGGGCGCCTCGAGCGCGCTCTTCTTGTCACTCCCGCAGCACTAATTTTAAAAGCAGCCCACGGGGGAGGAGATGAGACATGATCCTGTCTTGGGACTGACTCATCTTGCTGCTGATGTGCCTGCAGATTAATTACCAAACCCATGCAGGAGCAGCAGAGCCTGCACACTCGTATGTGACAGCGTGCTGCGTCGGGGCTGACAGCAGCCAGCCTTCCTGTGCCCCTGGCCCTGTGCCTTGGTTTGGTTTCTCCCTGGTGTTGTGCTGTAGGGGTGCTGGCGGCCCGCTGTGCTCTATAGCACTGCTTTGGCAGCTGCCCCACACCGGCTCTTGTCAGCAGCCGCTCCCTGGCCTGGCTGCAGCCTGCCTTCCCATGCAGGTTATTTTTATCCCTCCCGTTCTGCCTCTGTTGCCATCCATAAAGCTTAGAATGTCAAGTGTAATATTAAACGAGCGGTGTGCAAGTGAAAGGAAAATGCCAGAGAGGTATTTAATAAATGGAAGGCTGGAATTGATGGGGGAGACCACGGGTTTTCTCCAAACTCTGAGGAGGGGGGAATAGATAAAACCAAAATGAAATGTCCCCAGAATATTGTCATTATTGCCAAAAGAAGCCTAGTTTTGTAGGGGGTGCAAAAGTAGCTGGAAAAGGAATGTGATGGGATCGTTTGCTTTGAGATCTGTGCTGTAGCAGAGTCGTTCTCATTGCAGGGTGATGTGGGTACCTGGGCCTGGACCTCTCTGCAGCTGTTGTGAGTGGGCTTCCATGGTGCAGGGCTGACACTCTGCCCCTTGCCCCACGGTGGGACCCACTGGTGGTTGTGTTGTTCTGGATGGACCAGAGCTGCTTGGGCTCTGCCAGGACCGACAGCCTTCAAGCTGTGGTTGCAGCATGAGTTACGCTGCGTGCTTTGGGTTTCCATCCCAGAGCTGTGCCCAGCTGAAGACATGCTTGACAGCAGTCACGGGGCAGCACCGCTCGTGGCTGCGGCTCTCACTGGTGCTCACATTGAGGGGCAGCAGGGCGGCCCAACCCCGGCTAACCGCGAGGCCAGCTAGACAAAGTCACCTTGTCTTTGGGTGGTAAAGCAGATTTTTGTGCGCTGTGAATCTGGGAGTGCTCTGCTTTCCCTGGAAAGCTGTTGGCTGTGTTTTTGTGAGCTGTCGTGGTGCTGCGAGCTGACAGCCCGCCTTGTTGCACTGGGTGTGAGAGGCTTTTCACTCCCCATCTCAGCCATCCTGGGCTCTGGTGGCTCTGGCTGCTCATCTGACCCAGGAGCACCCCAGCGCGACGTTAATTCTGCCAACTAGACTAAACAAAAACAGTGACTTTTAGTTTCCCTGCTTTTTTTTTTTTTTAAATTTCTTTCAGCCTTAAACCATTCTTTGTTAGGCTGCTGAAACTGGAGCACATCCCTCGTACAGGGGAGGCGGAAAAAATCTGGAAATTATTAAGATGTGCAGAAATGCTGAACTAAAAGCCTGTGTGATTCGGGTTTGCATGCAGTGTGCCCACATTGGGCCGGCTCCTGGGCAGCACAGAGCTGGGCAATGGCTGTGCCATCAGCGGATGCAGAGCGTGGCCCATAGGGCAGCCTGCCTGGGCTCTGGGGTCCCCGTGCTGCCCTGGGGCTGTGCCGTCCCCAACCCGAGCAGCCCAGCCCTGCACATCCTGTCACCCACCCCACACAGGAGTCATCTCAGCTGGGCAGTAACAAGTGTTTCTGCCCTTGCTGTGGGGTGTGTTTGTTTACGAGGCTCAGAAATTATTTCTTTTTCCTGCGGGTGACTCTTTCTTCTCCTTTAAAACCATGTTAAAACTTCTTTGCAGCTCAGTACCGTTCCCTTTATATCCTCATGTGCTGTGAAAATCATAAATTAAGCCAGTCTTTCAGGGAGCAGCAGTAGGCTGTTTTGTGGTTGCAAAAGCTAATTACTGGGTTATTGTTTCTAATGGTGCTAATCCAAACTTCATTTTCCTGTTAATTGTCCGTCCAGCCAAGCTACATTGTTTTCATCATTCTGAATATTGCAGTGAGAGCAGCTGTGAGGTGTAACCAATGCCTCCATGACACTGTGAGTAGTGGCGAACCCAAAGGATGTGCTGAGAAATGGGATGGAGCACCTCTGGCGGCCACCCAGTTGCAGTTAGAGAGGTTAGATTGGCACAGGGCTGTTGAAGGACTCAGCAGCGCAGGAGGAGCGGTTGGCAGGACGTGGCCGAGGTGTCGGCACAGCTGGTGCCGGTGCTTCGGCTGCATTTGGGCCCCGTTGCTCTCAGAGGCGGTGTTGTGGCACGTTGCTGCTGCAGGGCCCGCTGAATTCCCTGACAGAGCTTTCCGCTCCCTCTTCCTTCTCTCTTTACCTTAATACCAAGGCCCCCAATGTGCACCGTGGTGCTTTCCATCGCACGGCGTGCCGCTGCGGGGCTTTGCTGCGCTACCCCATCTCTTACAGCCCTTCCCACAGCTCTTTTAAGGACCTCAATACTTGTTGAGAGAAAGGTGGAAAAGGAGAACTTGAGAGGAATTTCACTCCAGCCTTCCCTGGGTTCGGGCAGTTTGCTTGCAAGAAGTGCTCGTTCTGGCGGTGTTGGCAGATTTGAGTGCTGTAACACTGAGGTGTGTTGCAGGCAAGCAGTGTAAATACGATCTGCACAAGATTTGCAGCAGAAAGGGGAGGAGTAGGTGGTTTTGTTTAAAACACTGCCATTACAGTCAGTTAACCTTCATGTTACCTAAATGAAAATTGTATAAACCTGAAATTTTCGCTGATCAGGTTGCCTGGAAACAGGCGGTCGGTTTTCATAAGACAATGAACACACAGCCACTGATAGGGCTATTAGGAACGGAGATGTTCAGCCACGTTATCCAACAGCCCCGGGCCTGTCTGCTGCTGTCACTGCTCACCCACCGCTGCCAGAGGAGTTGGGGATACGGGATGGTCACAGCCCATCCCACAGGGGCAGTGGAGTGGCACTCATAGGTGTCCAGCACCCTGCAAACTATTCCCTGGAGCTGGCTGGCCCTTGGACTGCTACAGGGGCTCAGGAGGAGCAAGCAGAGGTGATTGCTGTGGCGTGGAGGGACTCAGAGGCAGCGGAAGTAACTGAAAGTGAAAGAATGCAGATCGTTTATTAATAGGGTTTACAGAAATTTTCTGCTGGGCAGAAATATTGATTCCTTATTCCTGTTTTAAAAGGAGCTTTTTGTAATGATCACCGAGAGTCGTTCTGTGCTATCGATTGTAATAGAGCTGTGCTGAGGACTTTCCTCCATCCATTCCACACCTGCAAAGTGTCACTGAGAGAAAACGCAGCGCGGGTTTTGCTTCCAGGACCGCAGCAACTTCTTCAGTCAGCTTTTCTGTCGTCCTTACGGCGCTGGGTGCGCTGAAAGAAGCACACGTGTGCTCTCCTAAATCCATTCATACTGTTCAGAAAGTTCATCGTGAGGGGGAGGCGGCGGGGGCAGGAAAACGCTAAAAATAAATCTCCCCCCTTAAGTAGATCAGTTCTGCATTTGACATTTACATGGAATTCATTTGCATCTCATTTGTACGTGTTTCTGCTCAATAGGTAGAATGTAAGAAAGCACAACCTAAAGAAGTGATGTTTCCACCAGGGACGAGAGGAAGGGCGCGCGGATTGCCGTACACCATGGACGCTTTTATGCTGGGGATGGGAATGTTGGGTAAGTGTGCCACCGAGCGTCTGCCAGGGCTCAGCCCCTTGCTCAGCACCCGTGTGGGGGTGAGCCCCAAACCTCAGCAGGGCTGGGGGGAAAGAATCCCATCAGTGGGAAGTGACGAACTGCCCCCTCCCTGGAATATAAGAATTTGCATTTAAATGGGTGTTTTAAATAGCCTGTTTTAGTCTTTCTCGCAAAAATAGAATGATGAAAGATGCAGTGTGTTCATTCTGACTAAAAGTGATTTCTCCCCTTTTTTAGAAGAGTTCAGTCGCACATTGTTCCTCTTCTTTTAAAGGTATCTTTGGCAGTTCGGTGTAGATAATTGAAAATCTTGCTGGCTCTTAAATGGCACGCAAGGTGGAGAAAGCAGGGGGATGCATAACAGCGTAGGTCACAACAATAATTACGAGTTTCAAGGAGATGGAATGGTATTTTGGTCCAGAGTATTGTGTCCAGAAAATACTAATTAAACAGGATAAATGATATTTAATGGCAAAATTCTATTTGTGCGCGAGGTCTATTTAGTTATAATTGGTTCTCATTTGTTTCTGCCTGGGTGGTTCTTCTTTCTGTATAGTCTGACAACCCCTTGATATTCTGTCCTCAGATTTGCTAAGCCAAAACGCTGCTAGTCCATTGCCAGTGTCCTTTTGTAAAACCCACGTATTGCCAACCTTTTGCTCCCTTTGTGTTGCTGCACCTTCCCTTGTCACACACAGTAAGACACAAGGGGGGCAGCTGGGGGTGTTCTCAGCCAGAAGTGCCCCATCTCAGCCCCCAGTCCTTCTCCATGGCCCTTCATGGGTGCTCTATGGCTTCTGCCCGGGGTGGCAGAGCAGCTGGAGAAGGGCAGGATAGTGCTCACCCCTCCCCTCCAGCACCGTTCTGCTGAAGGCACCCAGCGGCTGGAGCAGGGCCTGCACACTGAGCTGCCATCAGGGCAGAGGATTTGATTCCTGTGAAAACTGGGCTGTTCTGCAGAGATGTCTGACTTCAGGCACTGCTTGATTGGATGGGGAAGAATTTCCCTGCCATGTTGGCATTATCTGAATTAATGGCACTTCTCTGTGTGGCCAGAATGATTAGTTGCTGGGATGTGTAGTTCAGTTATTTCAAGCCAACATCTGTTTTTCTGCTACACCACCACCCTGCCCCGAAGTGTCTGGAGATTGCATTTTATGGTTAAAATATTTATCTTATTCAAGTCAGTCCCTCTGTGTGGCACTGCTGGTGGCCCAGGAGGCGCAGGTGGGTGCTCCTTGCTGCACTGGCACAGCCTGGGGTTGGGAACCAGGGCAGCAGCCCCTCTGCCAGAAGTGGAGGCAATGCTAGGAGCAGTTCTGCAGCTGGGCTGTGTGCCAGGGACCTCAATGGGAAGCTCAGCCTTCGGGAGTGCGCTGGGAGTGATGGCTGCCTCCTGGGGAAGAAGATGGCTTTGGGCTTGAAGAAGCAACAGGGGAGTTCTCAGCATGTGGATCATCTGCGGATAACTTTCAGCTGGGTTGTGTACTGTGGTCACCTGCTGCATGGGGTTGGCTGGCCAGTGCTCCTCGCAGGGCAGCCCTCAGTGTGCTTATTAGATTTTAAGCCAGAGTGGCTTGCTCAGAATTGCTGATTGATTTATGTTGAAGGCCAGATGCTTCGTTATCTACTCGCACTGTTGTTTTTCATTTTCTGCTTGCTACGGTGCACCATGTTAACTAGAGATGTGCAGACTAACAGAGCTGCAGCCTGCGATGTAGGGGGCCGTTCTGAGCCCCAGGGCTCATTTCTAGGCTGGGAGGGGGACAGCAAGCCCTGATGGAGACCCCCACCCCAGTGTGGGGAGGGCATAATTAACCCATCACACTGTGGAGCATCTGGCACAGTGGGCTGCCAGGACAGTCTGAAGCAGCAGAGCGCTTTGCTGAGATCCCAGCGAGGCCGGTGGCAGACTGACTCCCCTCCTTGCTTCAGTTGTTTGACTGGACTGAGATGGAGTGGATGGAAGCTGCTCTTAGAATGCTGTTGTACCTGCTTCCAGGAGCCCTTGTCCAAGGTCACCTTCTCCAGATGCCGTTTGCAGGCAGAGCAGGAAATCAGAGGAGCGAACGCACAAGACAACCCAAAGGAAAGAGTGGAGAGTGACTCCCTCCAAAGCTATTAAGGAAGTTGGTCTTTTTCATTAATCATAGCCTCCCTGAGGAGCCTGCAGCAGCCGGGGTCTAAAGGTGCACAGGCAGCCGCTTCTGTGATGATTTGGTTGATTGGAACAAAATTAAAGTGTTCTTCTGAAAGGATTTTTTGACTGTGAGAGTGCAGGCAGGCTGAGCCTTCTGCCAGGGCTGCTCCTGGGCTGTCTCAGTCGCTGTCTGGTGATGAGAAGCACACGTCCTCGGGGGAGGCCAGGAACATTAATTAGCCACTCTGCATAAAGAGTGGGCTGGAGCGTGTTCAGTTTGTGATCTCCTCTACCTGCCTGCCCACCCGGCCACAGCATGGCAGCTCGTATGTCACAGTGAGCAGTGCTGTGCCCCTTGGTGGGCAGCACTGTGCTCAGCTGGACGAGAGCAAGTGGGGCCTGAAAGCTCACACTGCATCCAGGAGACCCTGCCTGCCTGCTGGTCATGGTGCAGACTCATCACCCAGGGCCGTGTAGGTGCTGCTGTGTTACCTTCTGCTTTTGGGGGGGGAAAAAAAGCCAAGAAAAGTAAAGAGGGACAAAGAGAAGAGCAGGTGGGCTCCATTCCTCTTCCCTCCTGCTGGCAGCAGCTGTGTCTAGGATGGAGTGCTGCCACGTGCTCAAGTTGGAACACCAGGCACTGAGGGTGGCTGCTGCACTGCACTGTCTGAGCTGGGGCCCACAGCATCAGCTTCATTTGGCGATGGGTACCTTGGGCTTGCTGGTGTTTAATTTTGAAGTAACCTCTCCGGAGATAGAGCACAGTCTGTAAGGTTTATGCTCCAAGACTGCTGAAATAATGTCTGATAGGAACACCAAATTTCAGGAAGTCTCTGCCAGGCTGCTTATATCATTGCGCCAGGCAGACCAGGGCTCTGCATTACTGCACACGTTCAGGTGAGGTAGGCTGAACTCATGCATAAAAGAAGCTCGTGCCCTTCAAAGAAAGTCATTCCTTTTTTCCCTCAGAGTCTGTCTGATAGAGCAGCAGCTGCCTGTGAGGCAGGCTGAGGAAGGAAGCCCTGTATTGGACACAAGCTTTCTGCAGGACCTCTGGAGCTGCTGGCTTCTGCTGGCCTTGCACTGGGACAGATCTGCTTTTTTTGCACCACGGGAGCACCTCTCTTGGGGAGATGATGACTTTCTTGAATTAAGTGTAAAAGCAGAAGTCCCCAGTTTCAAAGCAGTCACTCCATACATCCATACTTTAGCTGTGAGGTTTGTACCTCCTGGATCACAGCATCTAAACGTGGGGACCATGCAGAGCCAAGGTCCTGGCTTGGTGTCCCACCACCCTGGTGACCTCATGCCATGAGCTCAGGCTCCAGGCCCGCAGGTTCCTGTGGGCGCAACAGAGGGCTGGGTGCTCTGCTCCATTTCCCTTTCTGTGACATGCCTGTAGTGACTGGCCTTTACCCTGGGCTTTAATACCAGTGGTGTTGTGGAACTCTCTCATAAACTGTAAGTGAAAAGGTCAGTGTTGATCTGTTTGCAGCTGTTCCTGCATTGGAAGCAGAGCCTTCGCTTTCCTTCCCCTTGACAAGACACCAACCTCACGCTGTGGCAGCGCAGTGCTGGGTGTTCCTTCCAACAGAAGCATGGCTGTGACTGCTGCTGCTCAGCACAGTGACTGCAGCCATTGCTGTCACCTTGCATAGGCTGCTGGTGTGCTCAACCCACTGCCTCTGGATGATACTGTGGGGTCAAGGAGTTTGGCGGTGTCAGCGTGCTTTGGGGTCTTGGTTGGAGCAGGCTCCGGGGTCTTGCTTGAGAAAAGGCAACCTGGGCAAAACTTGGATTCTTGGTTTACAGTGGGGGATAATCAGAGGGTTGGGTCATTCTCTAGGAGTACTGAAGCAAATAAACTGTTCACTGCCCAGCATAGGATGACTGTGGCATCTAATGGAAATGGTGGATAGGTCAGCATGGCCGTAATTTGGCTTGATGAAGCAGCCACATGGGCCTGGTGTTAATGCGCTATTGATATTCAGCCAGCCCATTTCCCCTGCGTGGATCGGGCTTCGACTCGTTAGAGCAGAGCGGGGCACTGCAGCAGTAAATGAAGAGGAAAATTGAAGTAATGTTGTATTGTAAATTTATGATTCCATCTGCCTGACCGAGAGAGCGCTGAGAGCCGGGGATACAGCTGAGACCCCCCCGGGCAGCCCCTGCACCTCAGAGGGAGAGCAGTGCTGCCGCAGGGCGGTGGTGGAGCTCGCGGTGCTCGTAGGGGTGTTGCTCACTGGGCAAATAATCCATTTGTCAGTGCAGTGGTAGTGGAGGGCTTGGTTCTTTTTTTGAAAAAGGGAAAAAGTTTTGCGAAGCGTAACTCTGAAAGATCTGATTTAGCGACAGAAGTGATTAATTTTGAAGGGAATCCAGCTGCTGAGCTGTGAAACAAATACATGGGCTGAGCAGAACGGACGAACCTCGGGAAGCCGGAGCGCTGTCCTGCGGCTGCCGCCTGCTTTCCCCTGGCTCTGCCTAATGGCTGCATCAGAATTCATCCAAGCACTTTTATCTTCCGGTTTTAGATGGTGATTAATAGCACGTTATATGTATGTTAAAATTGAATCGGAGGGACTTGCCCTGGCAGAAGAATTGCTGTGGGATGTGGTATGAACAAGGGTAAGTGGCTGTGGGGACGCCAGGCCTCCTGCAGTGCCCTTAGTGCAGGACGCCTTTGGCTTCGGGTGGAGCAACACCAAACATCTGCAGATGGTCCTTGGTCCAGAGGGGCCTTTCCTGAAGGCTGGAGGAGTCTTGGTGCACCGATTGATGCTGTGGACACAGGGGATGCTGTGTAGCACTTAGTGCATTAGAATTACAGGAGAGAGTCGCTGTTGGTAAGCGCTGAGCAGGGGATGCTGAGGATGAGCAGCAGGGCGCTGGTGTGCCATGGCCCTGCCCCGCTGGCAGCACCCTTTGCCTTCCACCTGCTGCGTTCAGGTGGGCAGCATTGCTCCTTCGTGTGCTTCCTCCAACATTTTTATTAGCAAAATGGCCTCGAATGGTGTTTTTCTCATAATACGACTTCAAAAGCTGCCCGAGGTTGGGTGTGTGTGTGTCTGAGCGATCCCTTTAGGAAGCGGTTCTCATCTCTGGGTTTTACTTTCCTGAAAAATTAAAAGCCTTTGACTCTGGCTCGTTGCCGTGGCTCCTCCAACTCTTTGATGTGTTAACTGTTGTCCTTCACACTCCTGGGATAAAGAATTACTACTACCTTAATCTCCAACTGTCAATAGCTCTGAAGCAAAGTACATTCATTGTAAGCTCTCCAAATGTCAGGGCAAACCTGTGTTATGTGTTTAGCCTTAGCATTTGGCATTTACTCTTCCAGCTAACAAGTATGCACAGTGCTTGGGCTTCAGGCACCAAAGTGCATGTTAATTACAGGAGTGACAGCGCTCGTGCGAGGCGGGTGATCAGCAGCCCTCCATCTCTGGATGGTTCTATTCCAGATGATAATGAAACCTTTCCTGCGTTTTGCATGAGCAGAATAAATCTCATTTTTGCATATTCCCTGTAAAATCAAGTTTTGCCCATCCTCAGTGTTATTTGGCATTGTGTTTATAATCAGAAAGCCTCTGTTAATCTTAAAACATTTTCTCTCACTGTTTTACTTGTTTGTTTATTTATTTTTGTGTTTCTGTGATCAAGGTTACCCGAATTTTGTCGCGACATACGGCCGAGGATATCCTGGGTTTGCCCCAAGTTACAGCTATCAGTTTCCAGGTACGTACGTTTCATTTGCAGATTCACTTCTTTCTCTCTTCTTTCCTTCTTTAGTTTTTCTTTTCTTTCTTTCTTTTTTTTTTTCTAATCCGTAGCTGCAGGTTGAGGCAGGCAGGTCTGCAGGGAGCATCTCACATAACATATTTTTTTGCGATTAAAACATATCTCTACAGACGGTATATTTAATACATCTTTATTAACGTGTGAATTGGTACTGGTTATTTGAAAACAAAATTTAAGTTACAGCGTGAAGCGGCAGAACTGGTTTCAGAGCTGTTAGCTCCCTCCGAGGGGTTCTTCCTTCCGCATACCGCAGCTCTGTGCCTGGGCACACACAGCTTTACACACACAGCCTTGCACAGACACACGGGGGCACACAGCCTCGCACATGCTCCCCACACCGTGGTACGTTCGCATCCAGCAGGAGGGCCGTTCTGCCCTCCAACATTGCTGCCTCCTTTGGTGCCCGCCGCGTCCTTCCGGCATCCTGTGCTGTGCTCACTCCCCTCTCTGGGCTCTGGCTCTGTGCTGTGCTCCCCTCCCAGGTCTGTGAGCACTGCTGAGAAAAAGGGCTGAGAGCCCTTTTTCCTTCACATATAGTGCTTCTCAGGGATGTTACTAGATTACACAGAGCTGTGGCTGCTGTGGTCAGTGCTGTGTGCTGAGTTACAGCGGCTGTGTTGGTGCTGTGTTGGGAGCTAATCTCCCTGCATGCTGCAGCAGCAGATTAAATTCTCGAGCGCTTGTCAGGTTGATCCTGGGTGGGACAGAGGACAAGGAGTAGGGCTTGGCTGTGCCTTAGGCATGTGAGTCATAGATATGGCTGTGGCATCAATAGGAAGGAGTGTTGCGTGGAAAGGATATGTGTTATTAACATCCATAGGATGAATGATGTCCTTGCACTGCAGATCTGGTGTCTGCAGGATGAGTAGCATCGAGGCAAGCCGGTGTTAGATATTTTTTTTTTTCCTCTATTTCTAGGCTTTGCAGATGCAGCAGTTCTGTGTTATGCTCACCTGCCTATTCCCCACCTGTACTGTGTCCTTTGCACAGTGCTGCTGGGGCGGGCAGCACGGCTGGTGCCCTGTGTGCCCCACAGCAGCAGGGCAGGCTCGTGGGGTTTCTGTGGTGACTGATCTGTGTGAGAGCAGAGACAAGAGACAGTCTTGATAGGTTACATGGTGAAAATCAGCACAGCTCAGGTGGCTTTAATTATAAACATAACTGAAATGAGCGTGTCTGGCTGTTGAACGTGGAGGTGTGTTGAGCTTCAGCCATCCTGACATACGCTGTCCTGGAGGTTTGGGTGATCTTCCCATGATTGTCTGGTTATGTTCAGTCTCTTGCAGAGATTGTGGCACAGGAGAAAATCAAAGAGAAACGTTACCTCCAGCGAGCGCTGCACTCAGTGCCAGCCTGGCCGTGCCGCCTGCACCGGGGGCAGCTCGAAAGCGGGGCTGGCAGGAGAAGCAGCAGCTCCTGGCCAGGCTGGCACCGGGAGCAGCACCACTCACGGCAGTGCGGGGGCTGCTGCCGTGCTGGGGGTTGGGCGGTGTGCAGTGTGCACTGCATGGAGCCGGGAGGGCGCCTGGGGCAGCGAGTGCGGCGGCGTTGGGGGGTTACAGGGCGTTGGGTGGGACGTGGGGTGTTGGGGAGCATGGGCAGCCTGCTCAGAGGGTCTGACATCTGCCGTTCTGCCCGCTGGCCCTGCAGCACAGCGCACACAGGCACTTGGGCGACTGTTCGACGGTTCTATCTTCTCCCATCGTTATTTTTTCCTCTAGGCCTTTGTAACTCAGCACTTAGCCTCTTTTTTTTATTTATTTATTTTTTACAATCACTCCCCTTTCTGTGTCTTTTTTTTTTTTTTTTTTTAATTTCTGGGACTTATCTTTTCAGTTTAATCTATTAATTTCTGTTCTTATTTCACTTTGCAGACTATTTGCCGATTTCACAAGACATAATTTTTATCAACTAGTTCTTAAAGATGCATAACAAATTAATCGGGGTTTACTACAGTGCTAATGAGAGAGAGAGAGACAGACAAAGCCTGGGTGGTCCATGTTAATATCAATGTCCACTGAGAAATTGCTGCTCTTGCTGGCTGGTTTGATTGAATGGACTTTTTACTTTATTTTTTTAAAGGCTCCATATCCTCACTGCTTTGAGTTTTGCTTTTTATTATCTTTTTTTTAATTCTGTTATTTTTTCCCTCTGCTTTGTTATGAGTTTTTAATGCCCACTTGGAATGTAACTCACAGGGATGGGGAGAGGGGCATTACGAAGGCATGACTTCTCACAAACTTCTTAAGCATAATTCTGACCAGGGAGCGAAAACAACGGTTGGGCCTCACAGCTGGCCCCAGAGGGATGCTGGCACTTTGTTCAGCAGCACAAGTCGAGAGCGGAGCGAGGCCGCCGTCTCCTCTTGCTGGGGTTCCAATGGATCAGGGTTGGATTGTCCCCAGCGAGCTCTTCTCACACTGCAGCACCCACCCATGGCCGTGCCTGGCTGTGGGGCGGCTCTGCCTGGGGCAGCTGCTGCCTCGGGGTTGGGGTCGGTGGCTTCTGTGTGGCCACCGCTGAACCGCAGCGTCCCCCCCTCAGTGCCATCCCCTCAATGCCAGCCCCCCGCCTCCTGCAGCGGGCGATGCTTCCATCTCCTCCTGCAATTGCTTTTGCTTGCAAATTGTGAGCAGGTTGCTTAAATTTGGGCAGGAGGGGCTTTTGCTGTGCTGCTTTCAGCTGTGCTGCACCTCTCAATCTCCACCCAAATGCCCGAACTGCAAACCGGTGATCTGCTGCTGTCCATTGGCTCCGCTTTAACACGACCAGATTCTGCTGGTTTGGGTAGAAAACACACATGGTATCTTTTTTTTTAAGTGTTTCTACCTACCTTATAAGTTTGTGAGAAGTAAATTGCATGCTTACAGTAGAACTGTAATGCATTTTAATGTTTGTTAATCCACTTGTTTAAAATGTCGGTGTCAAAGGCTCTGCGATACACGGCTGTGCTGTTCATTTCATTAAAGATGCTTGATGTAACGATTGGTTAGTTTCCTTTTTACTTTTCTGCAGGCAATAGCTTTTTTAATCTGTATGGCTTCTTATTATTTTGTTTGTTTTTTTTTTTTTGCTATGAATTGCTTTGCTTTTGTGAACTTGTCTTAGTGTGCATGATTTGCAAACATTTCGGCTATTGTGAATTTTCTCATTTTTTGTAAATAGTCCATCTGTGCTTTTTTTTTTTTTTTTATGACTTTTATCCTGTAAGTAACTGAGGTAGAAAATAATAATAAATTGTTTACAACGGATGTGCTGTGTTGCTGCTCTCTTAGCTTTGCAGATTTAATATTTTGGTTTGGATGCACCAAATAACCAGTACCAATGACAGCTTAATAAAAGAATGACACCACCACCACTCCCAGCACGTGAGCCACTCTTGGAAGAGCCTGCAGACGAATGGTTACGTATGAGGTGTGTTGGCAGCAAAAATTAAATCAAAAGCAATGACAGTGCACTGATAGCTGGGGGAGAGCGGTGTCTGCCCGTAAGGTTGCAGCATTCCCAGCAGTGACCGAGGTGGGTTGGAGCACCAAACTGTAGCTGTGGTAGAAATCCCTGTCCAGCACTGGTGAGCAGGAGGCTCTTTGCTGTTTGGAAATGGAAGGGACGATGTGGGCAGTGTCATGGCAGAAGGTCCTGTGCTGCGATGGCAGCATTTGCCCCGAGTGGTGCTGCAGAATGCAGAGCTGCCATCGCTGTGGGTGTCACTGTGAGCCCATCTGCTGTCACTGCCCGGGTGCTGGAGGATGTCAGAGTTGCTTAGAAGCCTTCAGCTCAGGAATTTAAATTTCTTTTTAATTCAGGGTTTGTTTGCTTGTGTGTTTGTTAAAGTTTATTAAAGCCTTTGTATGTGGGAAGAGGTGGGAAAGCCGGATATTATCACAGACTTTCCTGAGCTCCCGTAAGAACACTTGCACCTTAATAACCCATAGTCTGCAAAGCCTGGAGCCTGGTTCTGCGTTGTGCTCCTGCTGCAGACACACAGTGCAAGGGAGCTGAGTCTGAACGGGGACTTTCCATTATTATGAGAATATTTAAAACCAAGCCAACTTTCTGCTAATGTACAGAGTTCAGTTCGGTTTCTTTCCTGATAGCAGTTGCACACTGCTCACTCATCAGCAGTTGATTCTGAGTAGGATGGTGTCCTTCCCTAAAAGTTACTTCGTGATGCTTACCTGATAGGTGTGGTAGCTGCTTTCTGGGTCAAGAAAAAGAGCTGGTACCAGAGGCAAAGGTAACGATTATAGTAATGACATGCTTAAGGCTTCTTTTGTATTGTCTGAAAGAAAGGGCAGCTTCCTTCTTACCTCTTTCTGGTGCTGAGGACATTCAGCAGTGCTACAAAGCTGTGAGCTGGCTTTGTTCCTGCAGGTCTCTTGGTTCCCCACTCCTTTTTAAGTAATCTAAGAGAAGTGCAGTAAGACTGGGAGGAAACGAGCATGTCCATAGTTTCACCTGGTGTGGTGCTGGGTATGGCCTGGCCAGGCTGGGAGCAGGATGTTCGCTCAGCAGAGGTGCAGAGCGGCTCCCCTCCAAGGACTGAGCTGTGGTTCTGCCCAGCTGCACCGGCTGAGCTCCATCTCCCAGCCCAACATGCGTGGTGCTGCCAGGATCCCAAGCTCCCTTCTGTTCCCCAGCACCCAGCTGTCTGCTCAGGTGATGGGGAAGTTCCGAAAGCTGAGATGCTGCTTGCATGTGGTTTCCTTGCTCGCAGGGAGTAGTGAAGTTAGTACTGAAGGAGTCTGCTCTCTAACACACTCTTGTAAAGTGCTGTTACACAAGTTGTAGACTTGTCTAACAAGGAATGTGTTTGTCTGGACATGATAATTTAGTGATCAAACTTAACATTAAGGAAGACAGAAGTTACTGGCAGCTGCAGAATAGGAGGAGGCAATGCAAAGCACACTTGGTGTAGTCTGTTCAGTTAGTGAAAC